CGAAAAATTTACCCTTATGACTGGTTTTGTGGTCCAGGGTCACATATGTCCAACATTACTCGATCACAGCATCTTGTTAACCAAACATCTCAAAATAGACACACTCGGTTACAAAGACTAGTTTGAAACTTGTTTAATGTATATTATCGGCTTTATAAAAATAATATTAAAACCAAGGCCTTGAGCTTTTTCACAAGGGGAAAATAACCAACATTATCAGTCTGACCAACATGCAAAATAAAAATATAATGTTCTCTGGAAAATATGAAATTAATCCCTTTTTTTTTTTAATTCACTTTCGGTGAAAACCTAGACATGTTTAATTTCTCTACTATTATACAAAAGTTGCACTGAGACGGAGTTGTAAACATGAGTTTGAAAACTATAAACACATTACTGGCTCACCAGCCACCAAATCCTCCTCTATTGGGACAATAGCTGTCCCCCTGGAACGCAGGATTTCCCTGCCAGCTCTGGATGAATGGAGACCTGTGGATCTGCTGCACATCCATGCCGTAGCCAGCACCCCACAGCCCCGATGCCGAACCTTGAACTAAATTGTTCCACGACATCTGCACGCTAGGATTCGGGAGGAATCCTCTCAAGACCGGAGGTGCCACAACTCCCAGGCTGTTGGAAACGGTGCAGTTCAGGAGAGGATGTGCAAGTCCAATAGCACCATTGTGAGATATGAGTCTAGGGCCGCTCAGACCCAGGGAACCGTGCGGAGCCAACATGAGGCCGCTGCCCTGCAGCGCTGGATAAAAACAGTCCATGCCGTGTCTGGGAAGGAAACCACTGACCGCTGGTTCAGAGGAACTCGCACGGTCCACTGCAGGCTTCTCTGAACCTCCGTTTTCATTGGACGTTTGACCACTCCCAGCATTAGTCGTGCCTGACCGAGTGTCTGCGGAGCTTGTGCTCGATTGCTCCCAAGCTTTAGAAGTATTCACTATATTGCCGGTGTTTTTAGGCACAGCTGCAGATGTGTCCTTTTCTCCATAGTGGACCACTTCACGACTGGCTCCGACTGCAGAAGAACTGCTCAGTGGAGCCCCAGCTGTTGTTGTGACCGCTGACTCCGTTTTGATTGACGTACAAGAGACTGGAGTCTCAGGTGGAGTAGCTGACAGACTGTGGTTTTCCGAGGAGTACTGAGGATAGGAATCTGACAGATCGCTGTGACTGAGGAAGCTCTGGTGAGGATCAACTCCAAAAGCCGTTTGTAGAGTTTCACCGGCGTCAGACTTGGACAGCATCTTGGAAGCCTTGAACTGAGAAATCGCTTCACTGAGAGCTACAAAGTCTAATTCTTTTGGCATCTGGCTGGTTGTTGTGAGCACAGGAATTGCAATCGCTTGGTCTCGGAGAGAAGGTTCAGAGAGCGGCGGGCACGGATCCGTCCCGAGTGCAGACGGGTGGCTCGTCTCAGTTGTGACAGAGACACTGTGATCTGGAGAACCCAGGTCCGAGTCCAAGGACATGCTATCGTCTCTCACTACAGAGACAAGAGAGAGGTTCACAACTTCAAATCAACAGAAACAATACATAGCAGTTACCAGATTCTGATATTTGGTAACTGAATTGAAATCTTTGGATCAAAAGCAGTTTTACAAATTCCACAAGAGGTTTTGCACCTCTGTCTATTGAGGCACCCAAAATTGTCCCAGTTCTCTCATTAATCGTTCCTCATCTACATCTCCAGTAATTCAAGCATCGTTCAAACAGAATACATTGTCTGTGCAAGTATAGACATCCCTATAAGTCATCACTCGTTCGGTAAAATCCTGAATCCTAAGAATCCTCACAGGGTCACTGAAGAGAAGAATCATTACGGTGTACAAACGGTGATTAATGGAAATCAACTCCATAAACTCATAGTTCCTATTAAGACTCCTTCGAACAGCCAACAGGCTCCAAACAAGCAAGAAAGAAAATCATACTAGTTTGAAACAACCTGATGACAGAATTTTAATTTTTTGGGTGAACCATCCAGTAAAACACCATAGATACAGCCTTACAGTTAGACCAAGTGAATTTTGAGCACAGAAATAGGTCTATAATCTCCATATTCAAGCTGCCTTTGTGCATCTTTTTTACAAGGAAAGAAAAATGACATTTTCAATAGATTCAATAGACTTTCATTGGAGATTTTCAAAAAGACTGAAACATTTTATGTCAAGTGGAGTAACAATTGGTCTAAAATGGCAACAAAATAGCTACCTTCATGCTGGTGGACAAAATAAATAAAATTCAGATTCTGAATTACAAAAAATTAAATGTTGGCTATGATTATAATGTCTCTATGCCCCACAAAATGAATCTGAATTCATGTTGAACACACATTCATTATAAAAGAGCTGTATTCAAATGTATTGTACTGTCCTAAGACTTGGCATCAGTTCTGCTGGTATTTACAATTATGTGATTTTTGAATGTAACAGTTAAAAAGTTATGGTTCCAAACAGAAAACATTTCTGTATTTACACATTAAAACAGGAGCTTTTCTTTTACTTTGTTGTTTGAAGATTCAAATTAGATGTAAAAGTTTACAGAATGCTATACGTCTTAAAAACAGTCTTTACACCTGCAAAAATTAAGTAAAACACACGCACACACACACACACAAACACACACACACACACACACACACACGCTAACACACACACACACAACACACACACAACACACGCACACTAACACACGCACACAAAGACACACACACACAAAGACGCGCACACACGCACGCACGCACGCGCGCGCACACATACAAGCACACACACAAACACACACGCACGCACACACACACACTTGGAATTGCAGCATAATGGATGGTTTGTAAAATATTTTTAGGCCGTTTTCACACCTGGCTCATTTTGAGTATTTCTGAAAGTTGCTTTTAAATGTAATGTTTTACAATATTGCATTACTCCATAAAACTAACTGCATTACTTAGTTACTTTTTACAGAAAGTAATGCATTACATTACTTTTGTGTTACTTTTTATCATCTGGGCTGGGCTTGCTTATTTATTTTTACAAACAAAACCCCCAAAAGTTAAATTTTTGGCAACTGTAAAAGCCCTTTCACACCAAAAGTGAAATGAATAAGCGTCAGACTGAAGGAAGCGCCTCTGCCTCTCAGTTTCTCTCATCATAGGGACAGGAGAGCAGTCAGTGAATACATGGGAAAACAAAGTAACTTGCATTACTTATTTGAAAAAGTAACAGATATTTAGTTGTAAATTTAAAAGTAATGCATTACTTTACTAGTTACTTGAGAAAAGTAATCCGATTATGTAACTTGCGTTACCCCCAACGCTCAGATCCACATCAACATAATCATCCGGAGACTGACTGAACAAGGTGGTGCCAGACCGCTGGACCCTGTAGTGCTCCACTTGTGCTGGTCCAGCAATCTGACCCACTGCAACAATGCTGTCTTGAGATATATGCATGTAAAATATCATTTATCAGCTATGAGCAGAATTCCTAGACACAAACAGCTGCACTCGGACCAGTTTTACTTGCTTAAACACAGTTTGGTACACTTTGAATCGTTGTCTTGTGAAAAGTGAACCAAACCAAGGAAAAAATGCCAATATAATCTAAGTCCCTGTTTGGAACAAAGCAAATAATCTAAAGGTCTGCAAATGCCCCAAGTGTAGAGCGCAATTCAAATAAATCAATCTACTAGAGAAAATATTACATTTTATACATTATACATCTGTTTATCACCACAAATATATCTAGGATGCCTTTTTTTATCCAGAACTTCTTACATTACCAAAATTAATATATTAGGAAATATATATTATATATCAGGAATAGGAAATGTCTTCACATTTTTGTGACAGGTGCTGATGCCTGATCTCGTATGAAAAAAATCTGCAATTATTCCCATTATTATTAGGACATAAAAATTTATATTTGGTAAAAATATTTTGTATTGTTTCAAGGTACTTAAAATTTGACATTCATTGCCAAGTGTATAAAACCCCCACTATATATTGATTTTGGAGCCTGGTTCCAGTAGATGGTTATATTCAGAGGTGAAGCACACAAAAGACCTGTTGATCCCAAAGGCAAACAGATTATTTCTATTGGGTGTTTGATCCATGTTCGTCCACCCATGAGATGAAAAGGCTTTACAAAGCACAACATGACCTTCGCTTGCGTTTACAGTCTCCCCTGTCCTCAGCCTCATCTCTTACTTTGGCTGTTATTATCATGGCACAATGCCACTGCGTGTTTGAGAACCTGTTTTTTGTACTCTTTTAGCAAACACCATTTTGTCCTGTTATTTTCCATTCTGATTGTTCAGCAGTTCATGGACATTACATGTTTTTCTCTGCCTCTCCTCAATGATGAATGATAAAGATCATTCAGGATGATCGACTGGGAACAGTCACAGTGAGAGCAAGACGTGTAGTTTGGGATGCTGTCAGATGGTTTTAGCACAGAAATCACTTACATGACGCTGGAGCAGGAGTGGCGTAAGTCTCTGCTGATGGAGCGCTGTCCACATGTCCTCCACCAGCTAAACTGCTTATTATAAACTTTATGTCATCAACGTTGGCAATAACGATGCCACTGCTGGAGTAGTGGGGAAACATCTCAAACTGGCAGCCTGTTGGATGGGATTTAAAAAAAACATTACTTTAGCCATAAGCATTCATCATACGTCAAGTAATTCCATAATCATAAAACACTTAGGAATTTACTGTTAAATAACATAATTGATAAAAACAGTATTAAAAAAATCTGTAAATAAAGGAAAGTGCAGACAGCATCTGGTTCCTAGCACAGAATTTGAACCTTGCGATCTTAAAACGCAGAGCCTTTGCCATACAAACATGCTCTACGTATTCTAAATTGTGGTGCATTGTTGCAGCTTGTTTTGTGTCTTTCTCTCTACCTTTCCTAACTCTGAACAGTGTCACTTACTGTGTGTTATTTCCAGACTGACTGAGGCTAAAAGCTTTGAGAAACGACCCTCTACAGAGTCTCCTGTCTCACTGTTATTCCCTGGGACTTGTTGATTACAGCAAGCATTGTACAGTCATGGCCAAAGGTTTTGGCAGTGACATAAATTTTGTGTTTCGCAAAGTTTGCTGCTTCAGTATTTGTATATTATTTTTTCACATGTTTCTATGGTATACTGAAAAACAATGATAAGCATATAAGTTATAAAGGCTTTTATTGGCAAAAAATATAATGAGTCAATATTTAGTGTTGACCCTTGTTCTTCATAACCTCTGCAATTGGCTCTGGCATGTTGGATATTAGCTTCTGGGCCAAATCCTGACTGATGGCGATCCATTCTTGCCTAATTAGTTCTCAGAGTTGATCACAATTTGTGGGCTTCTGCTTGTCCACTCGCCTTTTGAGGACTGACCACAGGTACTCTATGGGATTGAGATCCGAGGAGTTGCCTGGCCACGGATCCAACATTTCAGTGTAATGATCTTGATATGCCTCCCTACCTAAAGTTTCTTTTGATGCGTTTGATGTGCAGTGTAAAAAATTGGAAGAAAAGATGGCTTATCATGTCCGACATGAATGTGGAAGAGTCAAGCAACAGATGGAGCTGATGGTTAAGGACTTGGGTCAATCGATTAGCTCCCGATTTTAACAGGGTCTTTAAAGTTCAAACGGACGCAAGCGATATCGGACTTGGAGCAGTCCTTACCCAGGATATTGAAGGGGAAGAGCATGTTGTTGCTTTTACATCACGTTTGTTGAGAGGTGCTGAAAGATACTACTCTGTATCAGAAAAAGAATGTTTAGCAGTTGTATGGGCAGTAGAAAAATGGAGGCAGTATCTGGAAGGAAGAATATTTGAAGTCATTACTGACCACAATGCTTTGACATGGGCATTTCAACACCCTAAACCTTCTTCTCGTCTGATTCGTTGGACCATAAGGCTGCAAGGTTTCCATTTCACTGTAAGGTATCGAAAAGGACAGTGCAACGTTGTTCCTGATGTTTTATCAAGGGGTCTCGACTGCACACCAGATACCCTACTCATCAGTATCGCCACTGAACCTATGTCTCTACCATGCAATGTACCAGTGGATCTCTCACAAATAGCTATGGAACAGAATAATGATCCAGAAATCCAAGAGTTAGCCATCAAAGTCGGAGAGCAGTCTACCAAAGATGTGATGAGAGTTCATTATGTGATGGAGAATGGATTTCTTTTTCGGAGTGTTCCAGATGGTCAAAAGGGCCAGAAAGTGCAGTTAGTCATCCCCAATGCTTTTAGACAGGTATTTTTACAGTATGCACATGACAATCCTCTCAGTGGTCATTTAGGGAAGATGAAAACCTTACTTAGGCTACTAGACTCTGTATACTGGCCTAGTATTCGAAATGATGTGTGGAAGTACTGTAAGGAATGCCAGTCATGTCAAAAGTACAAAGCTTCTACTACTAAGGCTCCTGGACAGTTACAAAGCACTCCTGTCGTTGAACCAGGATATATGCTAGGTGTGGACATTATGGGACCTTTTCCCCGAAGCCCCAAGCAGAATGAATATCTACTTGTTGTGGTAGATTATTTTACCAAGTGGGTAGAGCTATTCCCAATGAGAACTGCTAAAGCACCACTCATTGCAAGAATTCTGGTGGAGGAAATTTTCACGAGATGGGGAACACCGGCGTATCTCGTTTCTGATAGAGGTACACAGTTCACCTCTCACCTTCTTGACCTTTTATGCAAACAATGGGGGGTAATACAGAAACTTACCACTGCATATCATCCGCAAACTAATTTGACGGAGAGAGTCAACAGGAATTTAAAACCCATGATTGCTTCATATGTAGGAGAACAACATAAGCATTGGGACAGATGGCTGTCGGAATTCCGATTCGCTATAAACTCAGCGTGGCATGAGAGTACAGGATTTTCACCTGCAGAGATAGCTCTTGGCCGTAAACTGAAAGGGCCAATGGAGAGAGCCCTCCAAAAACTTCCCAGTCCTGAAAATCCTGTTTATCCTACCTTAGACCGTCAAAAACTGCTTATTGACATAGTAAGGGAAAATGTGGAACGAGCTCAAGTCAAACAAAAGAAGTACTACGACCAAAGACACAAGTCATGTGAATTTCAAGTTGGAGAAGTAGTTTGGATTCGTACCCATCCCTTATCTAAATCAGATGACGGTTTCATGGCAAAATTGTCACCTAAATGGAAAGGTCCAGCAGTCATTAAAAAGAAATTAGGTCCGGTAAATTATAGAGTTTCCTTTATGGATGATCCTGACTCCAGGATCATCCCGGTTTGTTTTGTAGTCAAAAATACTTTGACTATTTTTCATACACCATGCCGTAATGATCTGTGGATTGCCTTTATTTATATAAACATTTTGTAATGCACTACTGTGTTATGTGTCGTTTTCAGTTGAGGGACCCTCCCCTAAATTAATTTGTGATTCACGACCAGAAAAAGTTCACTGGGATGGTTACACTATTGATTTGATATTGATACTGCTATTTACAAAGAAATTTCATTTTGCTTGCTTTTTAAGTTATAACGCCATATATGTTTGAATATAACAATGTTTGGTTGCCATGTGATTTGAAAGAACCTGAAAAACATAAAATGATACTGACGTAGAGTTTAAACAAATGTACTTGACTTTGTTTATAATGTAGAACAGGATGAAATGAACAAAAGGTGTGAAAAGTTAAATTTTGCATTAACTGCTTTGTATTGTAACCAATAAAATAAGTGATTTTATTGATATGATTGCTTATAACTACTTTACTTATAACTACAAACTGAGCCTCAAACAAGAACAACCACAAGAAAGTCTTCTACATTATTCCTGAAGCCTGTACCTTGTAAGGTTTAGGCTAGATTTGACTATACTTACCCTGAATAATCACAGGGTTAAACGTCTAAGATACAAAGGCCACACTAGATTGGGATAATCTAAAAACTGGGGGCTCATCTATGATCAGAACTATGGGAACCTCTGGAACCTGAAGCAAGAATCGTTCCCTAGGAGAACATAAAACTGTGACCACTGTCACGCAGTATTTATTAACTGAGGACTTCATTCGAGCCTTCTTCTGCACCCACCCTTTCTTGGCAAGTGCTCCATTCTTTGTTTGCCTGTTATTTAGGTGGAGGGATGAGAGCGAGAGTAGCTCACATTTCAATTGATCACATTTCTTTATAAAGATTTGTTGCCGTTTCCTGAGATCTTTGCAATTTTCCTTTTACAAAAAAAGGAACTTAAATCAAAAATATCCTCTGAATCGGTGGAGTAGCACACTTGATTAACACTCTGATTGCGAAAGCAAGGAAGATGAAATACTGGGGAAAAAAGGAAAAAAGTGCCAGCTTGATCTAAATTTATAGGCACACTGTGTCATTCTGCACAAAGTCAAAATGTTACCATATTGGTAATATAGCCAAACATTTGGGTGCTAACTGTATTTCTTCTGTAAACCAAGCCTTTCACTTCACTTGTGTCCCAATGTGCCAACTCTCACATGTGCAAAACTGGCTTTTGTGTCGGTTTAGCCCTTCATCGCCTATGACACTCTGCCAGCGCGGTGTGGTCACACTGTCTACTCAGAATGCACATGCAGCTGTAAAGAGACAACACCTGTGTAATGATTTGGGTTTAAGATCACCTGTCAGAAATATCAGGTGTCGCTGTTTGATGAATCTGGCTTGCAGATCCACTAGACAGTCAAGGTCAGGCGCTTGACGTGACGGAGTGTCACAGTCGTGGTACGACAGGATCTCAACGATGTGTCTCTTCTCATATTCATTGAGGATCTCGAATAGGTTCAAAGCATCAGGTTTGAGCCTGGAAAACAAACAACACCGTTCTTACAGTGCAGTCAATCGTGAAGAAAACGATTCCACCCAGTTTCTACTCTGTGTCACCACTTGATAAAAAGTGAAGTCTGAAGGGTTGTGGTTTAGTGTCAAACCTGCGGTGCTCTCGGAGTTTCTTGTGTGATTTGAAGTGCACCCTCCACCTCCAGGGGCTCTGAGGACAGTTGAGCTGCTCAATGTACTCAAGGATATCTTGAAGTTTCTCTAAAAAAAGAAAAAACACTTTGCTGAAACGTGGGTTGAGTTGATATAAAATAAATCTAAACGTCAATAACACATTAATAAATGTGAAACTGCATTACCTGCCGTGATGACCGCTGGGTTCAGGACCTGCTCGTCTGAGACGATGAAGCCTCCGGACTGAAAGAGCTCGTTGTAGGTGTGGTTCTGGATGTCACTCAGGTTGTCTACGCCAGCAAAGCTCACAGACGGATGCTTCTTCAAGAAAACCAGAGAAGGTATCTATGGGTAGAAAACACAACATCTAGTGTCTTCCAGCTGATGGAACTGGTTCCAAAATTGAAAAGGAATCAACATACTTTTCAATGATATATCTGACGAGTCAAATCGAAATACTGAGCTCTGGCTTACCTTGTGAACCTGTGTGGCGATGTCCATATTCTGAATGATGACCAGCAGTTTGTCTAGACTACCGCTTTTCTCAAGGAAACCATGAGGATTACACTCCAAATCCCCCAACTTTTTCAAATATTCCTGTGACGAATGTCAAAACGGTACAAGCTGAGTAAGTCTCCAGATCTCTGGGCAACTGCAGTTGGACAAATAACCATTATATTCTCCAACTCAATTAATTTAGCACATCTGTTCAAGTCAGCGAAACATTTCTGCCATTTTGACACCTGCGACTAACATCTGATCCCAGCACTAAATAGAGGTGTAAAGAGGGTCTGAATTTCTAATAGTGTGGGATATTTTCATAAATTGTGCCATGGATATGCATTAGAAACACATTTATACCTAGTATATAAAAGCCTTGTTCACGCTGTCAGTCCACCTCAGATTTTTGTGCATATCTGATTGGAATTCGATCGAAATGATTGACTGTCCACACGGTGTATCCCAACTGTTCAGATCCGATTTGCGTGTCCAATGTTTCGTTTTACTGAATATCTGCATTGGTTTTTATAGCAGTGACGTTGTGTTGGTATGTTTACACTGAAAACAACAATGACAGCAATACAGTTTGCGATACAGATGTTGTTACCACATGTTGCCGTTGCGCTGGATTATATTACATCTGATGAGGCAGCGGCAGAAGTGGGAATGCATGGCTTTATTCTGTGCTGCAAAACTCAAAGAGGTGTGTAGACCAGTCATATACTGCCTTTTTCTGCTTGACTTGCACTTCACAACAGCACAACCTTGTTTCTGCAAAGACCTTCAGCATGTTTTCTACAAACAACAGCGGTGTCCGAAATCGCTCCCTATCCCCTATATAGTACAGGACTGACGAGCTGGAAGAGAGAGCGAGTTTACATGCTTATTTCTGCTTTAACTTTTATTTCATGCATTATTAATATTAAAGTGTATTATTCAGTCATTTACTCAGTTTACTGTTTTACTAATTTACTGAAGTGGAATTGTTGGCTTACAAAAAATTATAGAGATGTGATGATAATTTTGGTGGATGATTTAAAAAAAAGCATTCATTAATCACCTGAAGGTAGTGTATTCATCATGTCATTGTGAGTGTTATTGTTATTAATATTATTTTCTAAAATAAGGTACATATAAGTACATATGTGCTAAAGATGTTTCTGCGACAGCTCCAGCTCTCCAATTCGCTCACTTCACTCTTTTCTGATATTTACATTTACATTTAGTCATTTAGCAGATGCTTTTATCCAAAGCGACTTACAAATGAGGACAATAAAAGCAGTCAAAACTAACAAAAGAGCAACAATATATAAGTGCAAATGACAAGTCTCGAATAGATATTGATAACGATATAAGACAAGTCTTGAGAGATATATATATATATATATATATATATATATACACACACACTACCTAGTAGGGGTTGAACGACTTCTGATTTTTTTTAAAAGTCGATTTTTATGCGATGAAAGTCGCTGATGACGTCATTAATGAACAAATAAGTCTGGAGACAGCGCTGCCCACATGGCTATTGCTCCTATAACAGCTTTTTTTTAGCAGTTCTTTTGTCTTTAAGTCGTTATATTTCTCACAGATTTCTGCTTGTTCTAAATCAGATACAGATAAAGTAGCACAGTAAAGATTACATTAATATGAATGCATTAGTGAGAGCGATTGCGTGTCTTGTGGAGCGCTTTCAGAGTATGCATTTATTTGTCATTTGAACTGTCAGGAAACGGAGCGTAAATGTGGAAGTCCTTCAAAGATTTATTATCCTGTTGTGCCCTCTTTAGGACCAGCGACGTCAAGCTTAAAGCATCATGGCAGAGCATTGAAGTCGACTAGTCGGTGCAACCCCTACTACCTAGTGATATAGTGCACTATATAGGGATCAGTGAACGAGTGAGTGATTTCGGACACAGCTAACGTCTGACGTGTTTACAATTTACGTGGCATGGGAATGTGAAAAAGCTGTGCAAAATCCGAGCGATCTGAGCAGTCAGACTGAAACGGATTTCCAGAAACGTGTTTTCAATGGAATTTCAAACCACATATGAATGTAGCTTGAAACAGATTTGTAAAAATCGGTTCACACTTGCTAACTATGATCGGATTCCAATCGGACATGCACAAAAATCGGATTTGGACTGACAGTCTGCAGCACTAGATGTACCTTAATCTCCCAGCAGACGTCACTCTCCTCCTCATCCGTGGAATGGATGTAGAAGTAGACGATGTTCTTCTGAACTCCTTTGATGATCTCCACCAGGTTACTGATCACTTCGGGCTGCAGCTGATCGATGATACTGCTGATGGCAGAATGAGTGTGTCCCATCGAGGCGTCCGTTTGACCCTCCACAGCTCCCGTAGTCTCAGCAACCAGACTCCCATTCATCTCATCATGAGGGATGTTGGCTTCCCGTGTCTTCTGGGTCACCGAGTCCTGCTCCAGTGCCCACATCTGATGCTGGAGATCAGGGTCGGGTAAGCTTGAGTGATGTTGTGGCGGAGGCATTGGCTCAGGCAGGGCACTAGAAGGGGAACATGGTCTCAGAGATGATTCAAAGGTGCTGCTGGGTTTAGAGGTTGAAGACGAGGAAGCACACGGATTAAAGCTGGAGGATGTATCAGGGACATCTGAAGGAACTTCTGCAGCAGACGAGGAGGAAGTCACATCATCCTGAGCTCTGTGGTATCGACTGACATGCTGAGGGTCTATGAACATCATCAGGCTGTCGTGGAAAGAGCTGATGTAGTTACTGATGGGAAACGGAGTGTTGTAGTTTGACACGTAATTGGAAAGTGGCACAGCTGGAGTCTGGAGAGGTTCTCGTGAGCCTCGAGTGTTGGAGCAAGAAAAATAAATACGTTTGGCCCTCAAGAGCTGCTCCACCTCACTAGAGAAGCCAGAGACGAGCTCATCGACTATGTGGTCAAAGCTGCTGCCGTCTGCAGGACACTCTGTGTTCAGAGCCGGAGCGACGAGCTCTTCATCCTCAACCTCTGCTGCCGTCTGCACATCCAGATCCACCGCTGTGCTGCTGCTGTCTGGCTGGTAGGGAGGGGACAGGTCCTTTGTGTCAGGTGTGGCATGTGTAGACACGGTTGGGTTCTGAACGAAGCGTGGATCTTCAGGATAGTCCATCTGTCTCTGGGAATATCTCTCCGTTTTCAGACCTAAGCAAGCAATTAAGAAAATCCAGATTCTTTAAAGTAAATTATATTTTTTTATACACTACAAACTGACTTGCATGAAATGAAAAACTAATTTACTGAGGTTTACTTTTCAGTTTTTTTTAAACATGAGGACAATCTTGGTGCAGTGCTCATTCTCCGGAAACTATTATGGGTGTCCCCTTGTTGCATTACATATATAATAAACACATATAACAGAATACTGAACTTAAATTAGTGTTCAACTCGCCAAATTAAGGCAACTCTGATTTCCAGAGATCACAAATTAAGACTCCCTCCAATTCTCCATCAAATGTGTTAATGCAGCTTCCAAATTCAAAATGCTGAGTTTCTCTTTACAGTCTTTTAGCATTTCATTATGGTAGAACTTATATAGACTTTAGATTAGGGAATACAGATCAAATTCACCATTAACTAAGAGTTTTCCCTCAATAAACTATTAATTTGCTGCTTATTGATAGTAAGGTAGATGTTGTAGTAGTTATGTTTAGGTATGGAGTCAGGTTAAGGGATCTAGAATATGGTCATGCAGAATAAGGCATTAATATGTGCTTTGTAAACAGTCAATATGCTAGTAATATGCATGCTAATAAAAAAAAAAATATATATATATATTTTTTGGCAGTGTTATTTGCTGATATTGGCGTGCAAGGTCATTATTAGACATTTTGCACTGCTCTTGTTCTTCACATCATGCTAAGTGAGTTTACCTGTGATGGGTATCAGGACCCATGGAATGGTCTTTTCTCCGAGCAGGTTAATGCCACGCTGCTGTCCTCCAGAATCTGAATAAGGGCTAAATGCTTCTAAACTACTCAAACTACCAGCGGTCTCCTCCTGAAACGGCAAAAACATCAAAATCACCACCAGGACTTTATAAACCAAATGACTTGAAGAAATACAAACTATCAAAAAAGAAACAAAGAAACAATACATTTGACTAGATGCAAAACTATAAAGAGCAACTGTAAAGAGCAAACATCAGGTGCAGTCGTATTATTCAAGTATTCTAACTCATCTGCTCTGTTTTGTTCTGTAAACGCGTTAAATTCAATTGCTGGTGAAGAAACAGAACAGCTCACTGTTCTACATTCACCAGCAGAACCATGGCTATGAAAGGAACAGCATGCTACTCGTATTATTCCTGCAGTACACCGAATGTATTCTGTGACGAGTACAGTATGTGGAATACTCGACGATCTGCTACATTTGCCAAAACCAGAGCACACTGTGTGGAAGACTGTATCCCACAATGCAGTGGGCCTGAATCAGAACCTCTTCTTGACTCATTTGATCAAGAGTGAAAACATAAAAATTAAAAAAGGTATTAATTAAAATGAGAAATTACTTTTGAGTTGTTTCTCAAAGTAAAATAATAATAATAATAGTAATAATAATTGAAAGACTCTTGTTCCTGTTCTGTCTCTGTGCATGTATCTACACATTACCAATAAAACCCCACTTGGTTCAAGATATGTAGCGTTCCTTAACGTTCCAGGCTGTTCGTCTGTCCATTAGTGGATATTCCCCAAGTTACAGCATTATTGCATAAAAGCAATATCACCTTTGCAAACGTACGGTTGTTATATGTGACCCTAGAGCACAAAACCAGTCATAAGGGTAAATTTTTCGAAATTGAGATTTATACATCTGAATAAATATGCTTTCCATTGATGTATGGTTTGTTAGGATAGGACAATATTTGTCCGAGATACAACTATTTGAAAATCTGGAATCTGAGGGTGCAAAAAAATCTAAATATTGAGAAAATCATCTTTAAAGTTGTCCAAATGAAGTTCTTAGCAATGCATATTACTATATTTACGGTAGGAAATTTACCAAATATCTTCATGGAACATGATCTTTACTTAATATCCTAATGATTTTTGGCATAAAAGAAAAATCTATAATTTTGACCCATACAATGCATTGTTGGCTATTGCTTCAAATATACCCCAGCGACTCGAGACTTTTGTGCTCCAGGGTCACATATATGGAATAACAGAAGTGGAATCTTTCAGTATTTGCATCACTTCACTCGACTGTTTATGTATTCCAGATTGTCAGTTGTGCATTAGTCACGTTTAGCCACATTCATATAGCTCTTCTCTGGCTTTATGAGCACAGCGTGACTGATGATTTCAAGCTAAAGCACAAGACGATGTTTTTGTAAAATTATGGCATTGAGTTTGAAGTGCTAAATAGATTTTAAAGCATCTCCTTGTCCTTGCAGACAGGCACGGGTCTGACCAGTCTGAGGTTCAGTCTGCAATCTGACCTGCTGAACACTACTTTACTGAAGGCTGCCTGCGCTGGGGCGTTCTGTACATAGTTTGTGTTCCTTGACAAAAGTTTTGCAAATGACTGTATATTTATTTTACAAGATATACTTTGATATATGATCGAAAACAAGTCTTACAATGTATACAATTTTAGCTGGTATTAAATACACAACGCATGCCATTCCAAACATAGCCAGAGTGTGTGATTCAAGACAGTCATCTTTATATGAATTGTATCACACAAGTGTGTAATAGAGAAATTTATGAAGATATCTGATGTCATAAAGTTATGATAACAGCTTTTTGCATTTGTTTAGTGCCACAACGTAACTTCTCATCCCATCACCTGCATGAGATTCCCTTTCTGCTGCAAACTCTCACCCACCTTCCCTCTCTTCACCCGAGTCTTCTCTATGTAGTCTGTTGCACGCTTTTTCTGTGAAAATCAAGCACTTCAACTAACAGCTTTTCTCAAAACAATGGAAACTAGCCCCAAACTGACACTTCGGGAAAGCAGTTGTCCTATCGGTAAGCCCCGCCCCCCTTAGTTACTGTTGCTACCGGAGTTGCTTACTATGACAGCTGTCAGTGTGAAAACCTTGTCCCAAGATGTTTTTGATAAATTTTGGACACAGAAGGACCACCATTCAAGTGGGACTTAAATATGCCATGGAGGGATATATAAAAGATTTTAGAATAAATATGGTGGGTAACAAGATTAATTTGGAAGTGAGGGTTTACAGATCTCAATGCAAGCGGGAGAAGCCAGAAGAATCCAGGGTAGGATTAAACTAATTTACATTTAACCCGTTTAATATGGAGAGGCACTGAAATGTAGACCTTTATTTATGTGTTTTTGACCAAATATGTACATGACGTGAGAAGTATTTAGGTTGGTATGTTATATGGACACACTAACTTTAACGTTAGCTGGTTTTAGCCAGAGATACCTTGCTGAAGCACAAGATGACATTAACGTTCTGCTTGAGCAGACGAAAATTGTAACTTAACGAGAGTATGACACTCAGAAAATGAATGTTTTTGTCTTCATTGGGATTGGGGTTGAATGCTTAGGGACATTTTGCTCTGTTTTGTTTGGGTTTAGGAAATGTAATAAAATAAATTCTATTGCCCATCCTCTCAGAAGACCTGGAATCAGTGTTATAAGTACCCCAAACACATCGTTTTGCCGTGTTTGTAGCATAAACACCATCAAACCGATGAAATCTTCAGATCTTCCAATGTTTCTCTATGGCACTGAAACCTACAGATGTCCGAGTTCCGCTCCCCGTGCTGCTGATACTCGACTGCCATTGGCTCAGCTGCGTTTGAGGGGAGGGGCTTACCGATAGGTCAATTTGGTCAACATTAGAACATTAGACTAGCAGAATGGCATCTATTTCTTGAAATCCTCTCAACCCAGACTTTATCCTTAAATTTCTACACTAACCTCTCCTTCAATGTATTCATGTCACATACCTGTTGCATCAACGTTATGAAGCTATTTAAAGCCAAAGTAAATAAATTCTGTTCACATTTACATGCTCAAGTCATTCCAAACCTGTATGATTTTTTTTCTTCAGAGGAACACAAAGGCTGAATTTTTGGAGAATCTTCAGGGCACTCTTTTTAAAAATGCGCTTCATAAATGGCTGATAAACCTTCGCCGAAAAACCAAATCTCTGGAATGGACTAATACTTGTCCGAACCACAAAAATGGTGCACCAAACCATTGGATTTCATGCATCTTGTGACCAAAAACCAGTGCGGTCAACAGCTCCATATCTGATTTTCAGAGCTTCAAGTTTTAAAACTGTTCTGTTCGTTACTTAAAATATATCTAAAAAAAAAAAAAAAAAAACCTTATTATGCATAAATTGGACTATTTCAGTCATTTTTGAAGCTTGACAGACTCTGGTCACTGTATGCTTTCATGAAGCACAAAAAAGCAGCATCAATATTGTTCTTAACATCCCAAGATCTTAATATCTCTCTCTAAGATATGATAAAAAGATTGCCACATAGGTTTGGAATGACAACATAATGTACATGTTCAAGTAATGCTTAATATTAGGGCTGCCCCTAACTAAAGTTTTTTCTAGTTGACTAATAATGGTGTATTTAATCCATTAGTCGACTATTCACACATTTATATTAATTTATTTACTTAAATATATACTAGGAAGGACTTTAATATTCTGAGCTCAAGCACAAAGTTTGACACGAAGCACCAGCACAAGTAATGGCAATGATGACAAAGAAAGATATTTTAATTATGCATTAATAAACTAGTGTTTTCTGAGTCAGTGTTGTTTTCCCTTTGAATTGGTTCGTTTAAAAGTGGACATTTCAAGCTTTCTATAGATCTATTTCTCATGTCTTTATGGCAAGTAACCTATAAGCTGAGTTTGGGTTCATTTTTGTGACAAGGAGACCGAGACGGCAGAAAGCGTGTCCCGTTTGTTTTCGTTATTGTTGATATTGTGAGTGCACACAAGTAAAAGTAGACCCTTTACAGTTTCTAATGATGTATTACTCTTATCTGTATGAGCAAAAATGACATGCATTTTCACAGTGCATTTTAAGTTGTTTCCACCGTTGCTCGCGGCGGCACCTCCATGTCATGCACAAACACTTGGTTATGTGGCTAATAGCGCACATTTATTTAACGTTAGAGCAAATTACCATGTAAAGTTGCTACTACTTATATATTTCAGTATCAAATGATAAGCCATATTTGAGGTATATGAATGATAGTCAAACGTTTGGATTTCCTGCCCGATATACTGTAATTAACACAAGGACCAGCCGTTAACCATCTGTCTGTCACAGATCGCTTTTATTTATTTCTGCGACTAACCAACTATTAAAATTTTTGCTGACTAAGCCTCTTCTCGTCAGCTATTTAGGGTGCAGCCCTACTAATGTCCAGTTTATGAAGGTGTAAATGTAGTGTTGTTTGAGCACACTGATCTACCTCCAGACAGTCGGTCCTCTCGGGTTCATCCTCCACAAAACTCTTCCTTAAGTCAATGTCACGGTCAGTCGGAAGGCCGAGTCTTACCATGCTGTTCAAAAGAGCGGTGTCATCCTTCATCTCTGTGTCGTCAGGTGACTCTGCGGCGCTTCTGGTCATGTTGTCTATCAGCCTTATGACCTCCAGCGCCCCATGGGTCTTGTCTCTGCGCAGGTCTGTGTCAAGACTCGTCTTTCCAAAGCCGTCCAGGATCTCCATGATCTTCAGCGCTCCCTGAGTTTTGTCCTTCCTCAGGTCTGTGTCCTGAAGGCTGACGCTGCTCAGAACATTGGCTAGAGATGGAGAGGACTGTCTCTCATCCGCTGATGAAGAGAGGACACTAGATGATGTTACACAATTCAAACTCATCGTTAAAAGCAAGACCCAGTGCACTGAGAAACTTAGCTGTATCTTTATCTCCTCTCTATTTTTACAAGATTATCTTCATTAGGGCTGCATGATAAAGGTTAAATGGTTAATCACAGTTATTTTGCTAAAAATTTATGATCAAGTTTATTAATCATGGTTATTGCCATTACATTTTTTACATTTCATCAGAATTATTGTACCTCATACATAAGAACAACGGAAGTCAATATGCATGATTTGCAAAGATTTAGTAGCAGCAAACAGTGCAAACGCCTGTGAAAGAAAACTGACTGGCTGTTCACACAGAATGCGTCTTTACGTCTAAAAATGTGAGACGCAAAGCTCAGGAATGTTTTTCTTTTTTAAAAGTGCCACGCAGAATGTCTCCTCTGAGTTGTTAGCAGATATATTCATAGTGTTTATGATAAATGTACCTTTTGTAATATAGCTGCTGAAGATATTTAACAATTTATTTTTCTATTGCCCTTTTTCTATTTCATTTTGGTTTGACTTTAAAATAGACAAAGTTAAACAAAGCCCTTAATTTAGAACCTCATGATATTTTACTTTGTTATCAAAACCCATATTTTTCTGATAAACATTTACATTATTAATCTGTTAATTATCTTCGCAAAGTTTTATATTCACAAGTCAAAAGTAATTCAAAAGAAACCATCATATTTTAAATTTTTAATACTGATCTTAAAATATATTTTTGAAACCCTTTCTAATATGAGATCACAAAATAAGAAGCTTATAAAATCAATAAACATTCTAAAGCTTTTCAAATTTATGTAACTGCCCTAATGTATGTTTTTTTTTATCCTGTTATTTATATATATATATATATATATATATATATATATATATATATATATACACATACACACACACACACACACGTTTGTATTAATTTAGCTTTTTTTGTTGTTGTTCTGTTTTGCATGCTTTGAGATGTGCATCTTTTCCCTGTTTGCATTGTGCCTTTGTGTGATGCAACTGAAAAAAGGGAGAAAAAAAGAATGTCTCCTCCATGTTGCCATCAAATAAAACAGTTGCCATGACAACTTGCTACTGTAAACAAAAGCTCGCAGCCCTCGGGGTCTTCTGATTGGTCCACAGTTTTGGAACATTGATGTGTAAAAATGTAAATACTTTTAACTTCACACAGCATCTTAAAAACACAGTGCTCACGTGCGCGACGTTGCAAAAGAGACGCACGCCATCGCAACAGTCATACCCATCCGTCTAGTGCACGTTTTCATAGAAAGACAATGGAAAAGTTGCACACTGGAATGGAAAAACACATTTTGTGTGAACGGCCCCTTAGACTTTTATTTGAGCTAAATATCTCAATAGAGATCACTAAACTCCAAATTACATTCAATCTGGCATCCACAACGTTAAAAGCTTATAGAGGCTTGATACCAATTATACTTAAAATACGATTCATCTTGCAGCCCTTAAGCTTCATTCTCCTCACCTTCTCTTAGTTCTTCGTTGGGCTGATTTCTCTGGCGTTTTGAGCTTCCTTCATGAGTGACGAGATCCACCTTCCTCTTCAGTGTGTAGGTGTCCCCCGACGCCTCTGGATCTCCCGCCTTTCCCTTCGAGCTCTTCTTGTTCAGCTGGATGAGCTTCAGCAGCTCTTTGACTTTCACCGGGTCATTATGAGGGGCTGCTCTCTCAGTCTGAACCCGGAGCTCCTCCACCTTCTTCTTCACGTTCTCCAGAAGCATAGTAAACACGGCTGGTTTGTAGATGTAGGGCCGCACGAAGCTCTCCCAGTTGGTCTTCTGCCTGGGTGCCGGAAAGAGCTTGTCCCTGACGTCCAGTTTGGGGTCATAGTCAGTCCGGATGCGCTGCGGAGATTGGCCTTCACGAAGGCTAGTGAGGTAGTCGTAAACCTGCTGCTCTATGGTGGCGCTGAGATCAGCAGGAGGGTCACCGCGAGCCTTGTTGAGGGTGTAGTGAAGAGCGGAGATGAACGAATCATGCTGGGGCATGATGGGACTGTGATGCTGTGATGACACAGGTCTGCAGCTCTTAGAAGGATTTGATGCTTTATAAAGACAAACGTTAAGAGTTTCATTACTAAATAATAAAATTAAGATCAAAAATAAGATTTGATTGCTTGAAGTATCTGTGTCTTTGCATGTTTCAGTCACCAAAGACAGCTTGATTCTGTATGATGCTGTGTTCTGAATGCCACTGTCAGTTAAGATGAACACAAATCTTAAAAATCCATTTTGATGAATAAAAATCAAACAGAATTAGTACTGAGATGCAAAATCACAATGTTTAAAAACTTGCTGTTCTTTATTATTACTATTTCCTTGCATAGTCTCAAGCTATAGTCAGTTAGTTAACTGGTTAACACTTTACTTAAAGCCTAATGCACTATAAAAGCAGTTTTAACACATTAATTATGCCTTGCAATGCACTGTATTATCTCATGAATACCTGTAACCACAGTTATTATACATTATAACACTTATCTATTCATTGTTGCACCTTTAGAAAGTATAGCACATTAAAACATGAAAAATAAACCTTCAAATATTATAATGCATTTTAACTTTGGCTACAATTATTCATGAAAAGATATAATGCATTGCATTATAGGCATTCAGGCTATTAAAAGTTTAACAGTAAAAGTGTTACTGTTAATTTTTTTTACGTGCTATTAATTTTCTATCAGTTTATTTTTAATAGTGCTATTCATTAATGTAAAAAGTTAAACCAAGTTAAACAGTTAAAAGGTGTTTTTTTTAATCTTTGGTATCAAGAACCGTGAAATCTTACTGGTACTGACTACTGAAATTTTGCCACCGTCACAAAATTAGTTTGAAGAGAACCTCGTTAAACCAAGTTAGCTGAAGTAAGATGAACTCTGTACGCTTACGACTAGCTACATGAACGATAACATCGGTTTAATAGCACAGACATTTGAAGGTAATACAATCGCTCCCATGAGTAATGACATTTATTTTCACCACAAGATCGGTTAAGTGCGAGACTAAGTGCTTGCAATGTCTTAGCCAAGCATTCACATCTGTGTTTGCATGCTTGCATAAAATATGTTTCTGGCTTTAAGAAAAAACGCATCAATTTAATATTGTGCATCTCTCCAAATACTCACAGATCTTTAACAAGTCACGCTTCTCATGGTAAATAAAAAGTGCTTGTATTGAGGACATTTTCCAACCACCTTGTCGCTCTGTAAAATCAAAATAAAATACATTTCATTCAGATATTTCGAAGATCAATTTCTTTTACACATGCATTTCACCATCATTAGATCATACCGCTTGAGTTGGCCATTTGACTGGCAGAAAGCAAGAAGAGGAAACCTCTGTCCTTCACCATATTCACCAGCACCTGCAGTGAAGAGACAATCAGCTCATGTGCACACAGCTGCACAAACATGAATCAGGACTGATGCTCACCAGACCCTCCTCCTCCAGTTTCTGCAGCAATGCTGTCAAGCTCGGAAAAGCTTTGTCTTTCTCCACCACGTCAAACAGACTGCAGAACATGCCACTTTTGGACACTACAATAACAAACCAGAGCCATTATTTACATCCCATCATCCTTCTCTATAAGCAGTCAATGCTGCACTGACATCCCTACATTAATAAACAAAACAACGATAAAAATCAAAATGCATAAACCTACACATCACAATATACAGATACTGTGCCTCTCCACTCTTCCTCCAGACTCTGGGACCTTGATTTCCAAATGAAATGCATAATTTACTTTCATCTGAAAAGAGGACTTTGGACCACTGAGCAACAGTCCAGTTCTTTTTCTCCACAGCCCAGGTAAGATGCTTCTGACGTTGTCTCTGGTTCAGGAGTGGCTTGACACGAGGAATGCGACATTTGTAGCCCATGTCTAGGATTCGTCTGTGCCAAGCCACTCCTGAACCAGAGACAACGTCAGAAGCATCTTACCTGGGCTGTGGCTTAACACGAGGAATGCGACATTTGTAGCATTCCTCGTGTCAAGCCACAGCCCAGGTAAGATGCTTCTGACGTTGTCTCTGGTTCAGGAGTGGCTTGACACGAGGAATGCGACATTTGTAGCCCATGTCTAGGATTCGTCTGTGCGTAGTGGCTCTTGATGCGCTGACGCCAGCCTCAGTCCACTCCTTGT